TATGCCGCCTGAACCATCTTTTGCAGTAAATCTTTCCCTTTTCTAGTCTGTGTGTGAGGGAAGGCTAGAGAACGAACATCATCTTTCGTAACGCATGAAGGGTGGCGTGGATTTGCCAAAGCTGAGTGCTCCCCTGATGTTTCGACGAAAATTGCTGCTACAAAGAGTGTAAATAAAAGGATTCGTGGCAGAGTTAAGACCTACAAGGACGACCGAGGTAATGTAGGTGTTTGAGCCGTATGCATAGAGGTCAGGCTCAAACTGAGACAGCATGTATAGTACTAAATTTGGTAACCAACACACTGTATACAAGATGCTAATCACTGCCACCATTCTAGTCACCTTTAGTTTTCTTTTGAGTTTAGCTTGGTCGGTCGTAAGCAACAAGGGTGTACGCTCCCCTCTTTTCCAAACCCTGCTGAGAATTTTCGAGTACAATGGTGCCATAACTCCCATGGGAATTACTCCGAAGAAGAAGAAGGCACCAACAGTGTATGCTTTAGCCAGTGTTTTATTCGGCCAATGCTCCATGCAATGAAATTTACTATCTTCATAGTGAACAACAAAGAACCATGGCAAGTTGAAAACTAGGGAATAAATCCAACTACCCATTATGGCAGCAGTTAATCGACGGCTATTTCTACGTCCTGGAAGCTCGCCACGGGGACGAACAACTGTAAGGTAGCGCTCAACTGCGATCGCTGCTAAAGAAAAGGCGGACGCCGCTCCTCCAATCCAAATGAAGCTTCCTCCAGTAATGAATTTGCACATGTAGTCTCCTGCAGTGCCGTTTGGGTGGTGAAATGCCCATTTGACCACGTACTGTGGAGTAATAGCAAGAGCCACCATCATGTCCGACACAGCGAGGTTTACCAGCAGATAATTTAGTGGTGCTTTCATGCCGTGAAATCGCAAAACCACTAAGCACACCAAACCATTACCAATGAGATTGATCAAAACAATCACAGAGAAGGCCACAGTAAGGATAATATCTGTTGTTGTCATAGTTATGTTTACTGGAGCTGTCGAAGCTGAAAGAGAAGTAAGAAATATTGGAAGTCAAAGTCCTCTCTATGAGTGAATTTCGTATTATTGGCTTTTCCTGTCGTTTACAATCTTAGCACAGTGATTGACGCGATGCTTCCCAGTGTCTAAATTTTTTGTCCTGTCCATTCGATATACTCCTGTCTGGCAAAACCAGTTCAACATGTATGTACAATAGACGAACATATGAACATATATCTCCAAGGAGTCTCCAATAGGGCTGTCCCTAAGATGTTCGGGAACTTTTGGGCAACTTTTCCGATTTCGGAAGAGAGCTTTTTTAAATTATAACAGACCAAACTGGCACATGAAACAATATTCTCGCATTTTGGGTCACAATCATCACACATGTTTTCTAATCATTTGTCTCCACTGATTTTTTTCATAAGACCTAGGCCACAGAGTCACAGACTTTCAAGCTATTTTTAGATTCATCTTGCGCGGTAAAAAAACCTCTTATGCAGCCAATCTGAGCAAAGAATATTTAAAGTAAATCACAGAAATGGGGAATATAGAGTCAAGCGAAAGTAGTTTAAACCATAGTGTTACATCAGATAGAGTGATTCAGCTTCATAAATGAATATTCACCCGCTAGCGAAGGAAGCCATTCCAGTAGTGAAGAACACAGCAAACTATCTGGTAGAAAGAAATATCCTAATTTTACTATAAATGAGCAATTTCCTGCTCTCTGATTGGTCAAGAGCTGTGTTCTATGAGAAATGACACAATGATGACGCTATTTGACTGTCTCTCGGCAATCTCGCGCGCCATTTTCCGGGAAACTTAACCAGAAACGGAAGTTAAAAACTTTAATTCAAAGTTAAAATATGGTAAAACAACAAATGGACAACAAATACGTAATGTCCCATATCCTTAGCGACCATAGAAATGACGCCAAAACGTTAAATCTTTTACTGACACCACTATCTTTTTGCTAATGGTTTCACTTGAGTTTTGAACATGTTGTAATTGTTTCATTGGTCTATATAGACTATGGATTTTGTTGTCTTTTTATTAAACAGCCATCTTAGTCTTGACGCTTTGTGTCTCAACATTGGTAGCAGAAGAAGATCGAGGGGTGATAGGTTACCGCATATTTTTTTTCTCTAAACCTGCAAAAAGCTCCTTAGAAATGATGAAAAATAGATCGCTATCAATATTAATACATTATCATTTTTACAACAAATTGATTGAATGATGGGGTCTTGAAAGGTGGTGCTAACTTTGGAGTTTGTGAATGAAATCCTTTGGTGTGACCTGTTATGCAAATAAAACCTTTCCAGCAGCACTACCACATTTGATTCTAGTTTTAGCTCATTTCACAGAAAAAAATATTTTTCGCATTCCACAGAATAACATTTGGAGACTTCGTCGAGTAAATCTGCGACTTTGGTCAGCTCTGTGAGTGAAGGGGTAAAAATATGAAAAAGACAAAAAGGAATAATTTGGTTATGCTTGAAAATACGTCCCCGCAAGAACTGCTGAAGAAGCAGAGTGCTGTTTAAGAAACTACCTCGTTCATTTATTTTAAAGCTGAGTTGTGTCGACCATATTATAATAGACCTTGTCACGGTTTTCGACGCCATCTTGACGAGTAGGCAAACGCGTGAGAAATTACAGTGTTTGTATGAGAATCTAATGTCGAATAATTTCCGTAAAACGGCTGTTCTAAAAAAAATATCAATTGTAAACTAAAGCTACAAAGCAAAGGATTGTCCTNAAGAAGATCGAGGGGTGATAGGTTACCGCATATTTTTTTTCTCTAAACCTGCAAAAAGCTCCTTAGAAATGATGAAAAATAGATCGCTATCAATATTAATACATTATCATTTTTACAACAAATTGATTGAATGATGGGGTCTTGAAAGGTGGTGCTAACTTTGGAGTTTGTGAATGAAATCCTTTGGTGTGACCTGTTATGCAAATAAAACCTTTCCAGCAGCACTACCACATTTGATTCTAGTTTTAGCTCATTTCACAGAAAAAAATATTTTTCGCATTCCACAGAATAACATTTGGAGACTTCGTCGAGTAAATCTGCGACTTTGGTCAGCTCTGTGAGTGAAGGGGTAAAAATATGAAAAAGACAAAAAGGAATAATTTGGTTATGCTTGAAAATACGTCCCCGCAAGAACTGCTGAAGAAGCAGAGTGCTGTTTAAGAAACTACCTCGTTCATTTATTTTAAAGCTGAGTTGTGTCGACCATATTATAATAGACCTTGTCACGGTTTTCGACGCCATCTTGACGAGTAGGCAAACGCGTGAGAAATTACAGTGTTTGTATGAGAATCTAATGTCGAATAATTTCCGTAAAACGGCTGTTCTAAAAAAAATATCAATTGTAAACTAAAGCTACAAAGCAAAGGATTGTCCTAAAAAAATGTGGGAGCGTACCTGTGCTTAAATTTCTCCAGAGGCTTGCTTTAGATTTTCCATATATTTGTCTGTAATTTTCCCGGGACTTTCTTACAGACAAATATACAGAAATTTTAAAAAGTGGTTCTAGGTTTTCTAGTGCATGTAACGCCCACAAAGTTTTTCAGGAGAATCCTTAGGAGTGAAGCTTTAGTTTACAAATCATATTTTTTCAGAACAGCCGTTCTACGGAAATTATTCGACATTAGATTCTCATACAAACACTGTAATTTCTCACGCGTTTGCCTACTCGTCAATATGGCGTCGAAAACCGTGACAAGGTCTATTATATCTGCATAATTTATAACGTCATAAAAGTCAAAATGGCTAGAGGAAATTACACAATTACGCATGAACACCTAAAACTACCTGAAGCATAACAAGTAGGAGAGCTAACCACACTGTCCTCTGCAGTTAGAGGCAAACAGCACGACTTAATTAAGATCGGTAAGGGGTCATAAAGTGTTCCGTTGCCACTTGTCACGTTGGCATAATTGTCACCTTAGCGATTAACATTATTATTTTGTGTGTTGCGGAAAATGTTCATATTCTTATGGTTGTGAGGTAACAGTAAAACGTAGTGTTGGTGAAATGTTTTTCTCAATCAGTTACCGTGATTGATTTTTGACGCATAACCAACGACGTTAATTGCTGAATTCGTCTTTGGAAACTGCATTTTTAATAATGGCACTCACTGTCGGAAAGAATTTAGACCACGTGTGGTGGAAACAATCTTGATGTTACCATCTTCAGACAGAAAGAGAAGTCACTTGCGAGCCAAAAATGACTCACACGCCACTTACACTTCGCTTTCTATATTGTACGTATCAGGAGTAAGACCTTGTATGGCAGTGCATGTTGATCGAATCTTTAACCGGAAGCGTGTGCATTTGCATTGCCTTATCGCCAAACAATGCTCTTTTCAACACGAAGCGAGCCCTTAGCTAATTATGAGCATACCTGTTTCTAACATCATGATGGCTTTGGAAGACGACGAGTGTACAGTCCATAAAAATAAAGGTCTGTTTAGACCACTGTCCTTCGCAGTTATCACGGGAGCAATGCAAGCGCCCAATTGACAAGAGCAGCCTGGAAACGACATAGTACGTCATTTACTAAATTTTTAACAGCTCGTACATCACGCAATCCACATTTCGTAACTTTCAGTTTCAACGAGTTTCAGCGCCAGCATTCTCGACTGTATACCTAGCTGTGCAACTTGAATTAATCCCGCTAAAATTGGGGAAAAGTCCTAATCATGGCAAATTATTTTCTTCGATTTGAAGACTGAAGGTGAGTGATACCTGGTTATTTTATTTTTACAAAACTTTCACTCAGAACTTAAGGCTACAATTAATGCAACTGGAATAACAACATTTTCGTGTGCTAAAATAGATCTAAGTAACCCAGACAGTTATGAGAAGATAGAGTCTACAGCAATATTTTTCTTAACTTTTTTTGAATTTCACTATTTCCCTCACTGCTGCTGTTCAAAGTGTATAATTATCAAAGCTAAGTGAGATGCGGATTTAAAGCGGATATGTTCTGACTCTGTTCTGAGATATGTCGTGACAGCGGGTCCTCGTTGATCCTTCTATTTATTTCTTTACGAAATAGGGGTAGCATAAAAGTATTCCTGGGTTCATTCTAGTTAAGAGGCGAAGAAAAAGAAAAAAGTTCTCTGAGCAACAGCGACGGAACTGCCGGGATCGTGGCGGGCATCACGCTTTCACTGGATGCGGATGTGACGTTGCCGGGGAGTTTTCAAGGGCTTAAAATTTTTATTTCGTGAGTTGATTAGATCATTATCCAACGAAGAATCTGTTTCGAATTAAATGTCCCTGGAGATATGGGGAATATCTCAACTGTTATGGAGCTGTAATGAAGATTCCTTTGTCCGTCGACATGTTCACTCGTCAACTAGACGTTTGGGGGGGGGGGGG